CAGCTGTCCTGGCTGTGCCCCCTCCCAGCTTCTTGTGCACCTGGCAGAGCACAAGAAGCTGAAAAGTCCTTGACTGGTGTAAACTCTGCTCAGCGAGAACCAAAACATCAGTGCGTTATCAACATTATTCTCATCCTAAATCCAAAACACAGCACTCTACCAGCTACTAAGAAGAAAACTAACTCTATCCCAGCTGAAACCAGGACAACACTGAAAATTCAAAGGCAACAGTGCTTTATGCAGGGAGATTTTAGTATAACTGCCATCAATTCCATGGAATATGTTCCTGTTTTATTGCAAACTGAAATTCAGTGACAACAGTGATTTGGACTTTGCTGTCTTCACTTTTGTCAAAAAGCTGGGTGCAAAACTTCCTACTTTTTGCAGAGAGATGGACAGCACTATTTGCAGGCTATTCAGTGTAGTGATCTCTCTTTGTAGATGGGCCTACTTTATAAATGCGTGTATGTCACAAACAGGTTTAGTAAAAGTTAAACACAAGATTGCAGGAAACTTAATGACCTCAAGAAATTCAGTATTTGTCTATGACTACAATTGTATTAACATAGTGCAATAAAAAGAGGCTGTTTTGTTTCTGAAATATTTTCCATTTCCCATCCTGAGCAATGAGAGAAACAATGCATTTTACTAATCAGCTGAAGTGGCATCTAACATTGCTAATCATGCCAATCATTTAAATTAGGGTAAGAATGAGATAAAAGCAATGGGTAACAGACACGTGGAAAAGGTAGAAAGAAGGGGAGGAAAAAAAGAGACTTAGTTAGTGGGAGACGTAGTCAGGTCTGTATTTTCTTTTCTTTTTTGTCTAGCTTTTACAGATCACTATTCACGTAAAAATGTCAGAGATCCACTTTGTGTTCTTGTGAAAACTGAGGCTGAAATCTCAGATATTTCTGTATTGCCCTAATAAGAAGCATATTTAGGATTATGCCATTGATTAATTTAATTCTCTTCCCTCTTACTTAAAAGCAGTATTTTAATTTATAGATTGATAACATGCACTAGCTATCACACAGAAAAAAATCCAATTAGACTCACAGCAAGCAATTCCAAAGTCATGCTGAACAGGAAGATGCCTGTAACACTTAACATTTTGTAAATGTTCGTATTTCACTAGCATGAGTCACATTAAATGTGTTTTTTTTCTTACACTGAAAAGTAATATGTAAATTAGTATCTTCCAATGTTCAGACCCACAGATTTACATCTGTGGTTCTCATTTCTAAACATCTTCAAGTTGCTGATAACATACATACGTAGGAGAAGTGAATTTTCCCATGATTCACCTTTTAAAGATTCCAAGTTTTTTTCCTGTCGAAACTCTGCTAATTTATGCTTCATTATAGGCTAAAAAGTGCAATTGTGGATCATGCTACAGTAAGGTCTGTAGCCTCTATGTAAGAAATAGGTGCTTTGCATGATTCCATGTAGAAACTATCCTGCAATTTTTTATTGCAGTATTTTCTGTCTTAGGATACCATCATTACAAACCTATGGCTGTTAGTAAGATGTAAGGGTCAAATTAACTAGTGGAAAAAAAAGACATCAGTATTATCTGCATATTCTGTTTCTCCCACAGGCATAAATTTGATAAGCAAGTTAAAAGTCAAATTTAAGGACACTGAAAGGTTCAGCTCTGTAAAGGAAATGTGGCTATTCTTTAATCCTGTAAAGTCTACAACAGACTAAACTGAAGCACAAAATAACTATGTCTTATTAAAGCAAATACTTTAAGAGTAGAGAACTTGGCAACTGAAAAGATGACTAAATGGTACACAATCACTTTAGAAAACAAAAGCTGTCAAGGTTCCCCTCACAAACGGCTGCACCCCCTTCTATCCCAAACCTGTAGCAGCCCCTCTCATATACCAGTAAAAAGTAAGAGTAGTCGCTGCCAGAGGTAGAGCGTGTGAAATCTAACAATCTGTGTGAAATCAACAGGTTTTTTTTCCCCAGCTAGTTTAGTTTTAACCCGTCAGACCCCTGGGAGAGTTCACACATCTACACTTTTATCTCACAGGCATCTTTGCTCTCCCTAGTTTCCTTCATCCACCGTTGGCTACAGGACCCCGCTCCATCTTGAATCTGTACGCTGTGTTGACTCTGGCACTCGTCTGCCAAAAGGGTGAGCAGAGTCACCTTATTAAAACACACAAAAAAAAAAAAAGAAAGAAAAAAATATCAACTTCATTGCCGCCCTGATGTCACCCTTTCAGCAACATGAAGTCCCTCCCTACACAGTGCCCGGCCCGGCACAAGCCGACCAGAGGCCGCGGGCACCCGCCCACACGACGTCTCCCAGTGACGGCGACAGCGACAGCTCACAGGGTGAGGGCGTGAGGCGGGCGGGAAGGCGCCCCGCGGGCCTTCTCCCTCGGGCGGCCGCAGGAGGAGGCGGCCAGCCCCGGCAGGCACGCCGCCACACCCAGCACCCGTCCGCCCGGTGGCGAAGGC